ATCCGTCAAGAAACGTAAAACGAGACCACTTTGTTTGGCCGCTGATTTTCGCTCATAAGCTGGCAATGGCCTATGAACGAGTTCACCATAACGCGCTTGGTGGCATCGTGCCCAACTACGCTCCAGTCGAGCTGCTCCAGCTGAGCCGCTGCTAGCTTATTGATATTGTTATTGCTCGCCCAAATCACCAACTAAACTAGTGGGCGGATCGCTTTTGGGGCGGAGCGCTTTCGAAGTCCTGCTCAGCAACCAGCGCACCTTTCGTCGTGAAAGCGCCACACTCGCTTCCTTGGCAGCCAAGTAACTGCTCGTGTGGCCCATATGCTTCCCCGATGCGCCCCCTCTTCATCGTAATCGCTTCCTTGGGAGAGTAATACTAACTTCAGACTCCCATGAAGAAAAAACGTAATTTCTGTAATTCATGACTATACGCTTTCTCGCAGACAGAGAAACGTCATGTTCCAAGGAAGCGGATCAAGGAAAACGCTTCAGTGAGTAAATCGAAAGAGAGATCGAAGATTACTGTGAAATGTGAGAAATGAAATCAGCAGAATTCATTCAGTCTAATGTAGACGTCCAAGAGCCCACCATCGATCAAAATTCCGCGGATTGGGAAGCAATTTGGTACCTCGAATGGCAAACGAAATTGATGGGATTTCGGTTGCCATTCGAGGCACCAATCGCCTACCAGACCCCATGAGCGCAACCGGCTCCTAGTTACGAAACCGCCGCATTTTTCATTTACGACCGTCCTTCTTAAGAGATCTAATCAGGTGACGTTGCTATGGCATCCTGCCCTCTGAAGTGTGAGGGGTGAGGCAACTTGCAAAACTTTCCTAATCTCTGTGCTTCCTTTTAGGATGGAATTTCCTCAAGGAGATATATGAGACCGTTACTTCCTTCCTTGATCGAACAGGGCAGAAGACTTTACCACGACTGCAAGAATTTGAAGTGAGGAGAAACATTTTGCTTTCTACGGGACATAAAACGTCCCTATTTATGAACTGCAGCCTTTCCAATAGTGGATGGATTATTGTATATTACTCTTCCCTTACAAATACATCAAGGATACATATCGAGCGTATAAGCAGCACAAAATTACCTGTCCTTCCTATACGATGGGTGTAATCCTTCGATAGACTTTGCCATGTCATAGTTCAAGACCAAGGAGACGTCCTTGATATCGATACCTATAAATAAACATGCGAAGTAGAGATGGAGAATTCGTATGCTGGGCCATTAAAATAAAAAAAAATTTTGCTAGCACGCTAACTGTTTGATCAATTACCTCTTCCTGCGACGTCAGTTGCAACAAGGATATCTTTTGTTTTATCCTTGAGAGCCTGCAACGCATACTCTCTCGTTTCCTGGCCTTTGCCACCATGAAGGACGACAGGATTGAAATTCAATTTGCTGAGACCCTTCGCTAGAAGGTCAAGCACCTAAGAGCATGTAACATAACAGAATCTCAATAAAGCAATGCGAATGGCGTAGACAATAACAGCAAAGTAATAGAGAAGAATCAATCTTTTCAACGTACCCTGTTCTCTGATTAACGAAGAATGATGATAGGTCGGTTCAACAGTGCGGGGCGCAGGACACCTCGACCAAATTTCTTTCTCTTTTCTTGTCTTCTGACAACATGTAGACAATCTGAACACCACTTTTTATCACTTACACTTTTCCTCCTTACTTCTCACATTCCTTTTACTACGACAGCTTCTATAAGCAACACTCTCTATTACATCAAAATTTAAAAAATTTGGGGCTAAGTTGAAGGCTTTTATAGGGTCATGCTAATGTAAGTATACCTGTTCCACTCGTTCTGTGGGACGTCCTGCGGATCCGATGTGCACTACTGCAGGACGCCGTAAATAGGCTCTTGCCAAACGTTCAATGGCTGGGGACATGGTCGCCGTGAACATCACCGTCTGAAGAGAGATGGCTATAGATTTACAGTTCACTAGAAAGGCAATGTTCATGTAATAAACGTTTATATCTATGAATTTGTTAGAAAAGTGTCATGATAGTATTGAAGTTACTCTATATAGTACAAAAATTTCCACGGCATTAGTGCTTTATTCGTTTTCTAAACCATCGAATGAAATGTTTAAAGATGCGTTTTTCGATTTCCACCTTATCTGCTTTCTGATTCAAACGAATCGACCGCTCGCGCTCATCCAATCCCCAGTGAAATCTCAGCTCATGGTGATAAAGCAATATCACATCCCATCTATCGTATCAATTTCAACAATTTGAATGTGGCGATTCTGATGCCAACGACAAAAAGGAACGCCGCGGCCAACAAAAAAATATTAATACAACTCTGAAAGAAGCTTACGGACCAATTCGACATAACTGACGTTTATATGCAAAAAGAATACCACAAGGCAGGAAGATAGCCACTGGACAAAGTTTTCCTCGAAATGTCGACCAACGCTCGGCAACATTTTGCAAAAACTTTCAGAAAACAGGTTTACAGTTGAAATAGGAACTCGTCTACCAGGCGTAATCACCGAACATACTGTTTCCAGATTCCCCGGTGAATATTTTCAGAATTTTCAAGAGGGGTGGGTATGAATCGATGAATTGATCATGTTGCAGCTGAAATACTATAATCGTGACGTTATCGGCAAGTAAAAGCGGAAGTGGTGCTGTGATAAGAGGTGCGCTTACCACGGGAGCGGTCCGGGATCAAATCCTGGGTCGTGAGTCGCCCGGGCCAACCAAGCCTTCCATCCCTCCGGGGTCGGTTAATTGGTACCAGACTTGTCTGGGAGGATAAAAACATTCACTTGTACATCGGTTGGCCCCTGGTTTGAACAGACCACATCCTCATCGAGCCACTTTCTCAATTTGAATGCATCTTTCATTTCAGCAATAGTAATGAGTAATTTTAAGATTACCTTCTAATAAAGCGGAACTATGAAAAAGAAACTCGGAAAAAAAAAACTGAGATCGAACCTGACGGTAT